AAGCCTAGACTTACCAAATTTCTGCAAAAATGTTTTGGTTTTAGTAAAACTGTTTGGCTTGTTGCTGCTGTTGTATTTTCTTTCCACTGCTGAACAACCCTTTTAAACATCTGAAAATTACTTTGCCAGATTTTTTTTTCTTGTTTTTATAATAATTTTAGAATTTGGCAAATGCTCTTGCTTTGAGAAGGCTTTCTAAACATCCAATATCCACACGGCTATAACAGAGACATCTACATCCTACTTTATTAACCATGTACATTAAGGATTTCAGCCGAGGCCAACATCTTTGTTGCTGCCACCAAGCCACTGGCAGGAGCACATTAAGTTGTATTATTTACACATTTCAAATGTAAAAATGACAACTTCAAGGAACCTTTCCACTAAGAAACATCAACTTCAACCACATTGTAACTACAGCTACTTTGACAGTTACCTGTCCCTTCACAACAGGGTCACGTTTCTTCTCTGCGAAACACAGCAGCCACACAATCCATTCACACACCACCACGTAAGAATTCCCAGTGTGTGATCTAACAACGAACTGGGACATCCAGACACAAATCTTTGTGGAAGATCAGGCACAGAGGCTAGGTAAACAGCTGCCAATGCAAGTGAAACTCCACTAGAGAACTGTTTTTTACTTTGAATCTTGCTTAGGGTGCCTCCCTGACCCCCCCAAGAGGGTGTAGCTGGATGAGGTTTTTTTTGGAGGGTGGGCACAGGGGGAAGGGTGTGTTTCAAAGCCTGACGTTACCTCTGGGAATTTTGAGAGCCTTTTACTCAAAGAATGCAATACAGACCTGGCTTGAAGTTTGTGACAGAGCCCTAAAAACTCAGCAGATGTAGGAAACTGCTCAGTGTTCCACACAGTGGAGCAGCCCCATGGCTCTGCCATCACCAGGGGCACAGCACGCTCCAAACCAAACCGCAACACAACTCCACTCAGCCCTTGCAAACAACCAATATCCTTTCCACAAGGATACAGGTGAAACTTCCACACCCATTTTGCATGTAAACAATCCTGGTTACTTCAGACCCACAGAGCTGGATGGCTTGTCCCTTCCCTCCCCCTTGCCACCTGGCTGCACCACCCTGCGACTCAAAAGCAACCACATACCATGTTCACAGGGGTACACACACAGGTGCATTTCCCAAATCATAAGGTGACAGGAAAGGGCAACAATTAAACCAGGAGTTACCATAGCACAGCGGTGCATAAGCCTATGCCAACTCTTGTATTACACATCCAAACCTCTGTATTGGGAACCTCACCCGTGGCAGCCCCAATAAAACATGTGGTGGTTCTTTGGAAGTCACCAGCCTCTCCTGCATGCAGCGCTTTTTTAACAATGCAGAGAGAACCCAAGAGTGAAAGCGCAGAAAAAAACAAACAAAAAAACATTAGCCATCAAATAATACCCCTACTTCCTGCAACTGAAGGTAAGAAAATAGTTGTCCCCATTCATAACACATGCTTCTGGGCAAGTTGCAGTTGCCCAAATTTCCATTTAATGTTAATTGCACATTATGTTTTATTAAGTGCTAGATGCATGTAAACACACATATTCCACATCTCTCCCCTCCTGTTATGTGTGACATAGTTTATCACTTCCCAGCTTCAGGGAGCCTCACAAGCATGTGCACAGCCAGCAGGTACCACAAGAAGCCATCTAGGACCACTCCCACATCCTTCACAGGACATTCCCTACCACAGACAAAAAAAAAGACTTTTTTCCAGCTCTGCTGACTTGTGTTATCACACTTACTTTTTGCATCCTCTTTGTTGTCTTGAGTGGTTTCTACATTCTCTGGTCGCACCTTCCTACTCCTTCCTCCCTTTGGACAACCCTCCAGCTACAGGCTTTCCCTAGCGCTATTTACCACTATTTTCTTGACTCATTCAGCCCATCATTCACTCTCTCCCCCTCTCCTCTACTCTCCTGCACACAGAGCAGCACCACTGACTCTCCCCTTCGCACACACGCAGCCTGCACTGCCCGTTGTCCCTGTGCAGGATCAGTGACAGCAGGGCAGCCCCCCAGCAGCTGTGAGCCACCAGGATGCTGCCACTTCTCGCACTGGATGCCACCAACCTGACCACAAGGAACAGACAGCCCGCGTTGGGCGATGGCTGCAGCACAGCAGGGGCTGCCGGGAGCACGCGATCGCTGCCTGCGTCCTTCTGTCCGCTCTCCTTCCATTTCTGACAACGTACCAGCAGAGCCACAGGACATACAGAGAGATTTGCTCAAAAACAACAGCCAAATCAGCATGACTGTTCAGCATGATGACACTTCCCTGCCTGGCAGATGACAAGCCATAGGTTTGCAGTCAGTCTCACAAGGACCACTTTGACTTGGATGGGTGTGCTAAAATCCAATTTTTGCCTTAAACTGTCTTTTTCAACACTGAAACATCAGACTGAACAATTCTGCAAAGTAAATAGAATTTAAGCCAGCGCCTGAGCTGATGACTTTCTAACACCCACAAATGTCCTGTTGACATCTCAGGATGCACATTCAATTTAAAACATCCCTGAAACACAACTTTGACAATTCACCTCATCACATGTGAATGCTCAGCTGAGAACAGTTATGAAAGTGAGTGAAAGAACTTTTTTATTACCTCTCTTCTCAGCATCTGCCACTAATCCAAGCACATTTACTAAACTGCCAGTACCTTGACAGGGGACAGATGGGGGTCTCAGAGGGTTGAGGATGAAGCAGTTGGGGCAGGGGTTGCTTAGGAAGCAGCTACAAAGGAATGAAGTCTCACAGCTGTACCCAACCTCGCTGCAGGCTGCTGCCAAAGGAACGGTCTTGGCGTCCTGGAGCCCTCTGTCTGCACCCTCTCCCTAGGGTCAGCTCCGGCCACCTCACCCACAGGGATGAATTGGATGGAGCAGCTCACCAATCCAGCTCAAAACAACCCTCCCTCTCCCCTTCCTTCCCTGCAGGCTTCATTTTCTGTAAGATCAGTGAGCGCATGTGGCTGCAACGTGCTGGTGGGAGCACTTGGAAGTGGCAGGGTGCTACCTCTCAGCTGTGCAACGGGGCTAGAGCAGATGCAGAGCACTCCTTTTGCAGCACTGTCATCCTCAGTCAGATCAAACCAACTGCGGAAGGGCGTTCTTGTTTTCTCTGCAGATGCACTGAAGCCTGCCAGAAGAAAGGGGAGGATGGAGAGGGCGAGGCAGTAAAGCTCCCAGCACAGTGCTGCTCAGAGCTGTTCACACCAACACGGGCAGGAGATGGCTGTTAGTCCCCCAGATGCGCTGGGCTGCACACTGCGTGGCTGCCGCAGAGCCTCTCCAATGCTCAAACTCTGTACATATTCTCCATCTTGTATTTATCTACCCCAGACCAGAGGTTCCTCCTGAGGCAGAGCAGTGAGCTGTGGGAGAGCAGCCAGGGACCACCAGAACTAGCACTAGCACGGTTAGGGGAACACTCAAAGTGACCCACAAACAGAACAAGGGCAGGGTAGTGTTCTTCCTCCGAACAGGACTGGTCAGACACTTGACCTCAGGTTGAAAACACTGCTCAATTTTTCAATAAAATTTTTTGGGGGGCAGGGCACAGACACAACACACAACAGAACATGGTAAAATTACCAGTGTCCTCATATGAGCATTTACTCACTAGAAATTGAGTTCATCTAACCAAGGCACACTAAGCCATCTCCTCTGCTCCCTCTCCCTTGTTAGACTACTGGCTCAACACCTGTGTTCTCCTTGGGCATCACAGAGGAGATCACGCCTTCGGACTGTGCTAGACGCCAGCGCTAAGGGAGTAAACACATAAGCAGACTTCAGCTGTAGCATGTGCAAGCTGCTACAGAAATCAATGCACTTCTCCCTGCCTCCCTTTACTAATATCCTTTAAGATGCTCTCAGGTGAATCAAACTACATAGCAGACTTCTGCCCATTCTGTTCTCACTCTCCTTGTCTCTGACCCATCCCTGACAACCCTTGACACACTTGCTCAGACAAAGCTCAGCATTTACCTCCGCAGGTGATCTGAATCAAAAATGTGGGATCAAGCCCACCAGGATTTATCAAAACCTCAACAACTCAAAAATCAACTTCCCCTTTTAAAGCACCCCAGTTCTCCGAGTTTCATCTGCTTCCAGGGTACAAGTCACAGCAGCACTTCTTTGTGCTGCTACAACAGATCCCTACAGAGCAGCTGGTCCGTATGCTCTCTAGGCATAAAGGCTCAAGCTCACTGCTGATCCTACACAGAGCACATCTGCCAAGGTTTAGGGCATGCTGCAACACGTTGCTACAGAACATACCTGCAAGTAGTGACACTAGCAACAGGCAAGCTCTTATGAACATGAAAATCCCACACATAACACAGATTCCCAGGACTGCTCCTGGAGTCCCTGATCACACACCCAGGTTCCCTGGGCACTGGAAACCCCTCTCAGAGGCTCAGGACAGCTATAACTTGTTTCTTACTCTGATTATTTGTCAGTCTCCCACTGTACACCGCATAGATTTTGAAGGCAACATTTCCTGCAGTTAGTGTGTTAACAAGCCCTCCCATCCAGCTTCTGCAAGTAATCTGAAGTGAACCGTTACTGCTCTCAGCTGTGAGGAGTGCCACACCAGGTGCCAGACCCTGCAGAAGGCGCAGCAGATTACTATCAGCCTTCCTATCAGCCCCACACAGGATGGAGGGAGGCAGCAAGCGCTGTGCGCAGCTTCTTTTGTCTGGGCACAAGAGCCTGTAGAAACAGCCGCTGCAGTTCAGGGAAGGTTTTCCTCATAGGAGAGGGTACCGCTCACTGAGCCACCTCTGCTGCTCCACACAGGTCTGTCTCACTACGAGCATTTCACAGACACTTGCGAGGAGCCCAGCAACTCGTCCCTCCCATGCAGAGCGCACTAATGCTGTGCCACACGCAGTCTGAATCCTCGTGTTTGAATCAGTGACCAACGTAATGCACGCCTCCATCCTCGGCAATGCTCGTGTCAGTCAGAATCACGCACCGCCAGTGAGCCTCTCCCCAGCACCCAGCAGCACACAAAGGCACACAGATAACCGTCCCTCAAAGGCCACAGATGGGGGCTGGCTCATCCGCAGCCCCTCATCTTCCCAGGCCTCTTTCTCCTCCTCTGCCGGGAGCTCCTGCACAAGAGCCCTCACTGCAACCACTCCCAAGGGCTGCCCAGGTCCAGCAGTCGCCCAGCTCATCCAGTTTCCAGTGGAGGATTTGCACGTTCCAGGATCATCTTTAAAAGGCATTTTGGCTTTTTCCACACAGTACTAAGTGAAAAAGACAGAGGAGCTTAATCCTAACTATTGCAACTACAAACACGTTCACTCATTTTAAGAAGTTACTTTTGTTCTATAAAGCAGCAACCGAAGTTCAGGAGATGACCAACAGGCTAATTTAGTCCCAGCAAGGACCGAGGGCTCCCCTCTCCCCCAAACTTCTCTCCCATCCCAGGGAGGACACTGACCCCCACCAACCTCGTGCAGAGCAGAACCTGTAAGGCCTTGCGGGGGAAGAAACAATGCCGGGGCTCCCACAGGCACTCTGAACTAGCACAAAGATTTTATTGGAACAAGGCACTAAAAATTGCTTCACCAGCCACACTTATCACCTATAAAAGTTATCACAGGCAGCCTGGGAGCACAACTGCAAATGCCACAGCCTCAGGGATGCTGGAGGTTGTCGAAAGCCCTAACAGCAGAAACAGCCTCTGTAACACCTCAGACAAGTCTCCTGTCCACACGTGGAATGGGAAGCGCCCAGCACACATCCTGGCAAACCACCTAAGGAACAGGCGGGAGAGAGATCAAGCACCAGGAACGAGATACGGTGCAATCACTGCTGACACCAGTTAGACAAACGGCATTTGAAGCGATACAGGACTTCAGCAGGTACCTAGTCCAGAGCAGCCCCGGGCATCACAAGCTCGCCTTTCCCACATCCGAACCCCCCTGCTCCAGGCAGGCCCCACATATCGCCGCCCTTCAGCCACTCACCCCCTCCAGCCCCGCAGCTGCCCGCAGCCCAGCCGGCGGGTCACTCACCGAAGTATTCCTTCTTCATGTGCATCTCCAGCTCCTTC